CCTGTATTCGAGAAATTTGACAAAATGTGCAAAATTCTGATTTTTAAGAAAATTGTTTAACTAAAAGTTGTTTGCGATATCGATCTCTATAATTTTTCTAAAATGGACCGAAATGAAAAAATTGGAGGCAAAATGCTAAATTTAATTTTTTTCAGTATTTTCGTTTTCAATTAATATTTATAGAAAAATGTTTCGAGTTAGATGTATGTGGAAAATGTATATATTTAGTTTATTATTTTAAACATTTATAGAAGTACTGCAATAGGTTGTACAAAATAACCGGTAAAAGCCTATAATAACTATATGTGTTGGACACATCAGATATTTAAATAAACAAAGATGACGTTTCTGCCAATCGTAATTAAAAAAAAAATCCCATATGGATTCAACTTTTGGCACACACTGGTGATAAAAACACCTCTAGTGGAACTAAACCACTATATCCATATTTTGGATGAGTCAATCCCATGTCTTTTAGATAATACTCTTTACAATATCCCTCCATTTCTTCTATCCTAAAATTTGGCTTGTCAATGATTCACTCCTGCCCATCGTAGTTCTTCTTTCACATCCTTGAGCCATCCTAATTAAGTCTTCCTTCCTTCTTAGTCGCATTGTAACATTGAATAAAATCATGTTACATTTCCTGCTCTTTAAAGGTGACCAACATTTAATCGGCCGTAAGACCTGCAAAGTTTAAAGAAATATAAACCGAGAATTTTTATTTACCTAATTACTTCACGTCGGCATTATACTACGCTCACGTTGACGACGTTTCAGATAAGGTATATCGGGTATAGCCGCTCACGTACCGGAGGCATAAACGATTTTCGAAATGTCCGTTATTTACAAAGCTGCGGCAATCAATTATTTTTGTAGTAAATTTAACGCTCTACAAAAAATTCTTAATTTTTTCGATAAAGTCACTTGCTTAAAAGTTATTCAAGCTCAAAGTTGAACTTAAAATAACTTATTAATTTTCTTTGTATTTTGACTGAAAAACTATCATTATTTGTTTTACAATTTATTCTTTATTGCAAAAATATCTGATTCAGTTATTTTGTTGAATCTGTCAAAATTATTGAAATGAGGAAAGTAGAATTTATTAAGAAGAAAGTCAAAATACAAAGAAAATTAATAAGCTATTTTTAGTTTATCTTTGAGCTTAAATAACTTTTAAGCAAGTAAATTTATAGAAAAAATTACTTAGAATTTTTTGTAGAGCGTTAAATTTACTACAAAAATAATTGATTGCCGCAGCTTTGTATGAGCTGGCTGAGGAACGAAAAAATTGATTGCAAAACCCCCATGTTATTTAAATGGGATATGAATTGCCTTTGTGGCACGGTTTATCATCAATATTAAGGGCTTATATGGGTTCGATATTTTTTTTTTGGGTCATACACTAAAAATTTTAGGAACGCTGTAAACTCAAAAATTAAATTGGTAAATAACGGACATCCTAATGTACATGGTTGGCCGGTGTATTAGAAATTACTGACTGATGATTTTCTATACACTTGTTATAAAAATTATGTGAGATTGGTATATTTTAATTAACTTGTAATAATGAAAGATATAGGTTAAATTTTTATTTAATAATCAGTTTTTATACAGGGTATTTTTAAAGTTGAGTCATTTATTTTAACAGCCTGTAGAACTCGTCAAAAGAAGTCTATATACTAAAAATCACCTAAATAAAAGTTGCATATTAAAAGAAATATAAAAGACTTTCAAAATTTTAAAACTAAAACAAATACAAACTATTTATCCGCATATTTTAATATTCCTGACCACTGCCAAGTAAAAACGTATCGTTTTTTGTTTACTACGACAATTTTACTTATCTAGGTATGGCTATTTTTTTTGTTTTACGGTTTTGAGAACGATTTTTGGTTAGTTATTGGTATCAAGCGTTTGGTTCGTATCACTTTAATTTTTTTGATATTTTGTATGGAAAAATGGCGCACGTTTATGAAAACAATGAACTAGTGGACATAATACTAACATACGGAGAGTGCCAACAAAATGCAGCCGCAGCATGTCGCCTTTACGCGGAAAGGTTTCCACGGATGTTTGTAAATTTACAAATTTACAATTCCCACTTTCTTACAAATTTCTTGAAATAGTTCACTTTCAAAGTTCCTTCCTTGATCCGAATGTAATTCAAGTGGCACTTCAAATCGACTTATGAATTCCTTCAATATCATGTCGGCTTATGTGGCAGCTTCCTGGTTGGGAACAGCACAAGCTTCTACCCACATAGAGAAATAGTCCATCACTACGAATATGTATTTATTCCCTGCGTCGCTCTGCGGTGGGGTTCAGTATATTCACGGCAATTCTTTTAAATGGGCTTCCTACAATATACCATTGTATCTCAGCCCTAGCTTTACGATGAGGCCCATTGCTTGATGAACAAGTGGTACATGTTTGACACCAATCCCTGACGTCGTGGAAACAATTTACCCAGTAGAATCTTTTACGTACCTTATGCAATATTTTCTTTACGTTAGATGACCCCCTGAGGTTCCATCGTGGAAGTGTTTTAATATATCTGCTATGCAAATTTTCGGGACTACAAGCTGCTTTTTGGATTATGTTTCGTCAGAATTTTCAATCAATCTTTTAAGAAGTCCATCCTCCACTATCAAAGAATTCCACTGTGCCCAGTATGACTTTAACATCGGTGAAGACGACGACACTTCTTGCCAAGTTGGACGACGATTGATCGATTTACAATCTCTGATTTTCATCAAAACATGATCTTTTTCCTGCCGATCCTGAATCTTCTCGGGTGTCCATTCATCACTGATAATTTTAATGTGGTACAGGTTCTCCTCTTTCTGCTCCAGGCGGCTACAATGGGGGCAATTTGGTTGGCATGGTCTTCTGGAGAGGGCAACAGCGTTGCAGTGGCTTACTCCCGATCGATGTACGATTTCGAAATCGTATTCCTGTAGCTTTTGGAACCATCTTGCTACTTGACCTTCTGGATTTTTGAAATTAAGTAACCACTTCAAACTGGCGTGGTCGGTCCTAGTTAGGAATTTTCTGCCATAGAGGTATTTATAAAAATGCTCAATGGACTCTACAACGGCAAGAAGTTCTCGTTTGGTGACGCAATAGTTTTTTTCCTGTTTTGACAGTGTCTTACTAAAATAATCAAGGACTTTTTCCCAATCAACCTGCAACTGCGACAAAATGGAATCAATTCCTATATTGCTGGCATCAAAATCCAGAATAAATTTTCCTTCAGAAAGCGGGTAACCCAGAATTGGGGCTGAGGTCAATTTTCCCTTTAAAGTGTCAAATGCAGCTTGGCACTCTTTATCCCAGCTAAAGCTTCTACCTTCCTTGGTCATCAGTGTCAACGGTTTGGCAACGTCTCCAAATTTCTCAACGAATCGATGGTAGTAGGAGCATAAGCCCAAGAAGCTTCTTTGTTGACGCTTGTTGTATGGGATTGGCCATTGCTGAACTGCCTATATCTTAATCTTAGTAGGATCCACGGCAACGCCTTCTCCGCTTACTATATGGCCCAGATAGCTCACCTTGGATTGGAATAGGTGACACTTTTTAACGTTTAGCTTTAAATTGGCAGCTTGCAATCTCTTAAAGACCTTTTAGAGTTTTATCAGGCGTTCTGTGAGAGTCTTGTCTATGATAATGACATCATCCAGATATACAAGACAAGTTCTCCAGGACAAACCTCTTAGGAGTTCTCCATGAGCCGTTCGAAGGTAGCGGGAGCGTTACAAAGGCCAAATGGAAGAACCATGAACTGCCACAAACCTGATCCGCTAGTGAACGCCCTCTTTTCTTTGTCGATAGGATCCATTTCTACTTGACAATATCCGCTTTTCAAATCTAGCTTGGAAAACAGCTTGGAACCCCTCCAAGGAATTGAGGGCGTCATCGATTCTTGGTAAAGGATAACTGTCCTGCTTGGTGACATCATTTAGCTTGCGGTAGTCGACGCATAATCGTGTTGATCCATCTTTCTTTCTAACCAAAACAACGGAAGAGGCCCACGGACTCATAGATGGTTTAACCACTCCGTCCCTAACCATCTCCTGGAGAAATCTTTCGGTCTCTTCCTCCTTAACTTGGGGAAGTCTTCGTGGCGCTTGCCGGATAGGATCAGCTGCGCCTGTATCGATCTTATGTTTTACGACATCCGTTCTTACTGGTTTACCATCATTAGGACCAAAGACACATTTATATCGGTTCACTAGGTCTTTCACCTATCTCTTTTCGTGACTGGATAAGGATGGATCCATAGCTGCTAGCATCAGATTTATTTTGTTTGCCATTTCTTTTTCCGAAGCGCTCACCTGGTGAATCACGGCTGTAACGGACTCGAACGTTCCCACCTGTGTGCCCTTTTTAAGAGTAACGGGATAGTCGTTAACATTTATTATGCGAACAGGCACGGTTGCAGCTGACGTGATGAGTGCCTTTCGACGTTTTCTGCTAGCGTTACTTCAGCGATGGTTATCTCTCTTTGGTGTAAAAACATTTTTTCGTTTACAACATGTATGGTTCGGCGCTTGATATCTAGTTGAACCCCGCAGGCATACATGATGTCCATACCCAAAGTAATGTTTTCTTCGATGTCTGCCATCAGAGAGATGTGTGATACGTAGGTGGAACCAAATTTTATTTTCAACTTTACCTTGCCGTAGACCTTCGCTGTTTCCCTCGTAGCGGTCCGTAACACCCATCTGGAGGGTAGCAATTTTTTCTTCGTGGTGACTGCTGGCCGGATGATAGTTTTCGTTGCTCCAGTATTTACCAACATTGTATACTCTTTGCCATCGATTGTGCCATCTACTTACAAACTGCTGGTAAGATATCTTAACGATGGTATAATAAGAATGGGAGGGTATTGGAAGCTAGTTCGGGTTGATGTCCCCCTTCAGGAGACGACCTAATTTAGTTTTCCTGCTGCTGAAACTTTTTATCTGTCCAACCAAAGCAGGCATTTCTGATGTGGCCTAGTTCCCCACAATTCCAACATCTGACAGAACGTCTCTTCCTGGGGCCAGTATTTTCATGACGCTAGTCACTACGTCTTCCATGATGCTGGGATCAAATGGCTCTTGTTGAGTGTCGACGTTGTTGTGGTCTCTGATGACTCTTACTCGAGCAGGGCCTCGGGAAGTCTCCGTTGCAACTTCGTACTCCAATGCTACTGTCAACGCATCGACTAAAAGTTTTGGACGAGCTAAACTTACCGCAACAACGTTGACAACGTTGACACTCAACAAGAGCTATCTGGTCCCAGCATCATGGAAGACGTAGTGATTAGCGTCATGAAAATACTGCCTCCAGAAAGAGACGTCTACTAGTGGCAACTAACCATCTTCCTCCTAGTACCTTAGTAGTACTAGCCGGATAACTCGTTACATTATGTACTAGTAAGCTTATAAAGAAATGCCTCATTAGATGTAGCAACATGATATGCTTTTGTAATATATGACTTAATCAGAGTAACCAAACCTTATAAAGAAATACTCTGGTTACACAAGTATGTTCTGATAAGCTTGTAAAGAAATACCTATAGTGACATACGCAACGATATGTGTTATTGGCTAATATATTCCTATCGTTGTATATTCTATAGGCAAATTTATAAGGACTTTTATACTAAGATAATATATAGGGTATTGCATTTGAAAAACGAATAAATTGAACTTAAAATTAGCCATATTTAAAACATGGTTCAAAACAATAAGACCGGCGTGTTGCGTATTTTCCTTACTCTCAAACTATGGAGTGTAAAAGTAAGAATAACTATCTTTGTATAAAAAAAGTGTCCCTCAAAATGTATAAAATTAAGAAGGAGCTTCTGCACCAGAGGGACACCGACAGTCGATAATTCCGTAAAAAACACAATCACAACAACGATGTATATAGTTACATACAGGGTGTTTTCGAACTTGGAGTCCAAATTTGTAGGGGTGGTAGTTCGCATAATTTGAGAGCGATTGGCAGATTTCATTTTTCTAAAAAAATTATAATAAACAAAATAGAGCCATTATAAAAAAAAATCAGAGCGGGTCCTACCCTGAGCGCGTAGCGCAATAGTCGCCTGATCCATTACTCGGGATTTACAACTGTAGGGCGCGCGAGTCGAGGCAATCCCATCGCTGTGCAGGATCGTACCTGTTCAAAATTTTTAATTAATTGTTAATTATTTTTATTTTAAATGTTTTGGAAAAATGAAATCTGCGAATCGGTCTCAAATTATGCGAACTACCACCCCTACAAATTTGGACGCCAAGTTCGGAAACACCCTGTATTTGGCTCATCCATAGAGTATAAAAGTCTGAAAAACAAAAAACACATTGATACTTAAACGTGATTTAATGTGAAAAATATGCAATTTCGATTACACCTAGCACCAAGAAGAAATTGCAAGAAATTTGCTAGGGTTGTGGGTTTTTTAAGTACTTAAACAAACATAATAAATAAAAAATACAATGATAGAAATAAAAACTAATAAAAATACGATAGACAATACTTATTTTTCTGCTGAAAAGTAACCTTGCTTCATTTTTCTATTTTAGTTCGACGACTTGTTTTGCCAACTTTTGCGCATCTCCTGACAATGCCATTCGCAAAACTGCTTTACTGGTTGCCTGTGTGCAATAATGAATTTTAGTGGCGCTTCGGTTTTCGTCGTCTGATTTATATATGGATGAGCAATCTATATGACTATGTATCATTGGATTTTTCCCTTCTAGTATACGAGCGCCATTTTAATTGTATACATTTTAGTGGACACATTTTGATATAAACAAAAAAGAACCATATAAGATTGTCCTTCTTTCTTCTATACTTCATACTCCAAACATTGCTGCTAGGGAGCAGCTCCAATCAGTGCCATATATTAAAAAAAAAATTGTATGCATTACTGCAAAAAGTAAATCTTTAAAATTTTTGAAATATTAAGGTAGCTTCATTATCTATCGATTCTTGTAGTTAAATTTTTAAAAAATTAAAAATTTAAAAACTTTATTTTTATCTCACAAATAAATACAGCTTAAAAGCAAAATTTTAAACACAACAGTAATTACACAATTTTATGTAAAACGTGACACAAAATGTTTTTTAAATCGCTTGAAAAAATAATATAGATACATCATTCATTTACAAATTAAGGCGGGGTATGTATTCCTCTCATCTAACTTTAAATTGCTATATTTTTGTTATTATGTTTTCTTTTAAATATCGTTTAATTGTCTCTTTTTTTATTTCTGTATTCTTCTTCAGTGATTTAAATTGGTTTTAATATATGCCCGCATAATTTTTCTTTTTTTTTTCTCCTTTTTTTATCATACTCACTGTTACCATTGTGTTTGAGTAATTTGGTTTTAAATAATGTTTTATTGCTATTTTAAGTTTCCTGTCTCTAGTTCTACCTCTTCTGATTCACAAGTAATTTATTACTTTTTGATGTTGATTTATTATCTCATTATTTTTCTAGGTTTACAACTACAATTCCGTAATTTTCCCTTGTCCTACAATTTCATTCAAAATGTTTTACATTATTTTTCTTCATATTGTAATTACCATTATGTCGTCTGCGTATATATTGACTTGTCCTCTGCCTGTTCTCAGCTTTTCTCTATTAATTTCGCACTTCACATACTTTAGAGAGAGAGATTGATAGCGTGGTTGATAGCTAATCTCCTTGCTTTACTCCTTTATTAATTGTGAATTATTTCGTTCTTCTTTGTACGGTTTAATGTTATCTTAAATGTCTTACATCTTTATTGCTATTAACTGCCTTAAAGGGCGTATAGATATAACGAGCCGGGCCCAGGTTTCTATCGAGCGGTAGATATACAACACCAGAGACAACCCAGCGAGACGTGTGACTCAATGTATTTTTTTTGTTCGGTAAAAGATGTTTGGACGATTGTAATCACAACCAGTCTATGATGGCACCACTAGTAAATAGCGGGAAAATTTAAAAAAGCTTTAGGGCGGGAAATTCAAACATGGATTCAGAAATAGTTTTTCTATACAAATTTACATGAGAAACAAATACTATTGTTTCACTGTATATTAAAAAATGTAAAAGCTTCCAATATCAAATTTTTCATCATATAAATAATCATTTTAATAAAGGAAAATCTTTAATTTAAGCAGTAACCACAGTTTTTATTACTCTTGAAAAACTTGAAAACTCTGTTGATTATTAAATATTTAAACTTGGAAAAATAATACACCAAACTCTTTTTCTATAAATTATATTTTTGTAAGGTACAGAAAAACAAACTACAATTGCTATTGCTACGTTTAGAAAGTACCTCGTATCATTTTGTGACAAATTACAAAGAAAGGCACAGTTGTTATATATTCATAATATATTTAAAAAATAATGTAACAACTATTTTATAAAGTATAGAATATATCGATACCTTTTTGCCAGACTATCATAAGTGCCATTTGAACAAAAATGTCCTAACGTTAGTGTGGCAAAAAAGTATCAATATGTTATGACTGTTTATTTTAATAGAAACCATAGAAATGAAACAAACACACATACACTCACACAAATGTATAAGGTCTGAGTCGAGTAGGTTCCCATCCTGTAAACTGGATCGAAACCTGCTAGACCCAGTCCGTACACCTCCCTGCTAAGTCCTCTTAGGATCATCAAGATCAATAAATTTATATGCCATGCCTTCTAAAAGGGAATGAAGGATGACATACTATCAGTATTTAAACAGGACGTTGCTGAAGGCTTGCCCCTGTTATGTCATCTCTTTATGTATCTTATGCGTGTGCGTTCCTGTTGTGCCCCCAGTCATGTAAAAGTTTTCCTAGTCTCCTAATTTGGTGACTAGGTGGACCTTCTGTAACTAGTCGTCTAATCTATTCGATCTGCTCTGCAAATAGCAAATAATAATATTAATAATGAACACTATTTAAAGATGAATACATTTTTGTAATTTTTGGTCGATGTCCCTTACCTGTCTCTTATACCACCAGGGTATACAAATTTCCCATACTCCCTTAATTATAGATTACCTTACGATGTTTAAATGAATATAACATTTTACCCATGAAAAATCTAATTTCAAACTTAATTCTTTTTTAATTTCATTCGAAACAATTGGTATATTACAATTTATTATCAAGGAAATCTTCTAATAAAGTTATAGTAGATCCTACTCAAACTACTGGTTCTTTTGCAGGATAAATTAACTTTTCTTGAGATTGATCTCTCTCTAAAATCCAAAACCGACCTGATGTCCCCAAATATATTTTCCAATGCATACTGATTAAAAATTCTGGCCCTTAGTGATTCAATTTTTTATCTTCGTTTAAATGACTACAATCTTCTAATAGCCACTAGAGTAGCCACTAGAGTGGCTATTAGAGGTAGGTATATGTAAGAAATTGCCAATCTCTAATCATGTAAAAATTCCTTTGCCAATACTACATGTGCAGAGATTTTTTACACAGCATACATTTTACTTATTTTCTAGTAGGTGGGAACTTTGTGCTGCCATTAAAGCTGTCGAGGAATTCATCTACCTACTTAATGAACAAAAGTAGCTGTAACAATGAATCTCTATTCCAATTCACCTAAAATAATTATAGCCATTTTGTAAATATTATTAAACACACACATTATACAGTGTTTTTCTTAATAAATTGGAAATAACTTACCCCTAGAAAGAAACGTGTACAAAAACGCGAGTTTGGTTCCAGAAATTGCTTTATGCAAAAAATAATATGCGAAAATAAACATCCCCCCCTAAAGAAAATTAATTAAACAACAAAAGAAGACTCAAAGAAATAAACGGGGCCCAAATTAAATTTATTTTAATAAAATGCACATGTTCATAACATTCATAACATTGTCAGTTGTCAGTTCTAATTTATACGTCACACGTCGAAGTCAAAAAACCAGCAACATCAGCGACCTCTAGAATTGGTATTAGTTTTATTGGAGAGAGATAAATATATGTAAATATCAATGTAAAAGACAAAGAAAGTTATATATGTAATTTAAATGGATCACCGAACAAATTTTCCTATTAAGTTACACGTCTCTGTTATCTCTGACGACACCGTACAAATCTGACGAACCTGCGACTGTTGGCCCTGGCGCATATTTACACATCCTCCTACACGATGGCACCAGGGTGCTGAAATCTGTTAGCCTTTGTGGCTACAATTACGCTACAAAAGCTCATTGATTTAGGCATTAATGCATGAGGCCTCTCCGAGTGCTGAAATCAGTGAGCAAGCGTGTCTGCATCCTATATAAGAATGGCTGTTACTTAAACTGCCGTTAAACGGTCGTGTAATAAAATGCCGTTAATAGACATGATGTCATTCAAATGACGCATTTGAAGTGTTTTGGGATTAAAGAAAAAGAAAATATACAAGAAGAAAACGAAGCTTCGCCGCCACCAAAAAATTTTAACACATACCTGGCTACGTCTACCAGCATAGACTCCAACGGCCTGGACACAGCCAAATTGCAATGAAAAGTCTTAAATAACATACAATTTGTATGGGTGCCCAAATCAATTAGTGCAATTGTGGGCCACAAAGGCTAACACATTTCAGCACCCTGGTGCCGTCGTATAGTAGGATGTGTAAATATGCGGCCCGGCCCGAGTCCGGCTAATTATATCTACACGCACCTTTCATTTAATTTAATATAAAGAACTAGTCGTAGTTTTGGTAATTTAATAGAATCAAATATAATGTAATATTTTGATTGTTTGCAAATTAAAATTTTAAACTAAGTTATAGAACCAACGCCATATTTGGGTATCTATTTAAATAGACGTTTCTACTGCCATTGACACATGTCTCCCTTGCTCTTTAATTACGTTTTTTCTATAGGCCGCAAGTGACAGAAATATATGCGAATATCCTCTTTTCAACTTTACGACCAAGAATACTGCCGAATATTGTAGATTAAGAAATAGTTTGTATGATAAGAAGTTATGGAATTATTACGCCGGGTGTCAATGTTACGTCTACACAAACCGGGCTAGATTGAAATTTCTCTATCCGACGGCCTTAGAAGAAATAAATGTGGATGGTGAAGTAGTTTACATACCAGTAGCCAATGTAAGTATCTTTTTTTATATTATAGAAATCGTTACAAAAAAAGTAAAATATAACAAAATTTAAACTATATCGTTTGAGTAGCAGTAAATTATTTAAGGCGTGGTTATAAAATAACGAGACTGTTGCTCCTAAAGGAACGCATGCACCAAACGCGAACGACCAATAGCTGTGTAGCGTCATTTATCCGTATGAATAAAAATAGAGTATTTGGTTTAAAGGAAAAGGTAGAAGTATAAGCAAGTGCTTCAAGTAAAAGGTACAAGTAAAATATATACTCCGTACCATGTGAATAATGAAAACCTCTTACTTGCGAGCATATACTTAAAAAAAAAGATGTAAAAGGTGCGACGCGGGTTACTGTCTTATATTTATCATAATACTATCATGCATTGCCATGGACTCGTGAAGGGAGACGACTATAGTTTTTTCAGTCCTTAAAATATTGTGGGTTTGTATAGATAGTATTTATTCTTATTTAATAGTCTCTGTACCGTTGATTATGACACACCTATTTCCCGTTTTACAGTTCTTACAAATGCACTAGGGTTTTCATCGACAACTTGTAAAATGTTTCTGTCGCGATTATCATTTTCAATATTGTATCCTTTTCTGGGTTGTTTAAAAGCCCCATGGTTAATTAAAACTACGATTTTTCTAAATTAGTTTTTTATGAGGCTGCCGTCGTTCGGGGTACATCTCTAAATACCTTGCTAAGGTAATGTCGCCGTTTCTGCGTGGCTGCAAGTACAGCGCTAACATGTGTTACTTTTCTTTATTTGAATAGAGAATACCTGCCATTTTCCACAGGTTTCGACAATTTGTGTGACAAATTTATGATTTTAATGAGAGAAAACGTATTACTTATTAAAACACAACTTTGATAGTTTGAATATTTTAACGTCAAAGTCAGAGCCTCCTTAGATGGAAACAATGGGCTACTTATAAAAACCCTATTTTCTAAAAAATAAATCATGGCCTCCTTAGAAAAAATGAGACCTAACTTTACGAAGTGTGATATTTCGATGATTCTCAAATCTTGCAGGCACTTGTGAGACATAACAAGACTGGACATTTTTCTAAAAATCCAATATGGCAGCTATGAAAAAAATGAAAATTGAGGCCGATTACGGGATAAGAAAAGACGATAGAGACATGTTATACACGCTATCCTATTCGTCTTAAAAAAGAGTCCGAATAATGTCACATTTTGACAATTGTCAAATTATTTGTTTCTGATTTACATGCGAAAAGCGAAATCTGCCATTTTCGGTTTTTCGCCGATATTTCCATAACCTACTAACGATCGTAAATCTGAAGCGTGTTATAAAATTCTCTAAGTTTCCTCTACAACTTTTCCCATTTAACCTTTGTTGTAGGTATAATAGGAGCCGAGATCCCTGTATTGAGAAGCGAATCTTGGACATACTGTATATTATAATTATCTATAAAGGTCAACCACAAATAAGCCACAATAGGTATAACAGTTGACAAACATTAAAATAAAGAAAGAGATGGATGGCCATACTAATTTAAATGTCCTTTATAGTAACTTGTTTCCATTCGAGCAGTTTCGGATGCAAAAGTTGTTTCAAGGTTCTAGCGGAATTAAAAACGTATTGTAAAGTGTGACACTTCATTTGAAAGCTATATTAGGGATTTAGTGGTAGCATAAATTTGTTATTATAGTTAATTGTGGTTTAAGTTTTTATTTCTTATCATTAGACATCTGCACAATTTTTATTTTATTTAGGTTCATATTTTATTAAATAATGTTTTGTTATATTATGGATTAAATTACTAATATAAGTAGCTTTCAAATGAAGTGCCACAACTCACAATCCATAACAGTTTTTATCCTGATAGAGGATATTAAAATGAAAAGTAACGTAATGAATAGTCATATTGCTGAATTCTTCTTAAAATTACTTGCTATTAAAAAAAAACGGGGGTTGCTGCCGGACTCCAGGGAGTTGGATTTCTGGGTATGAATTATATATCGACGGCCAAAGTGCAGTACCTCGTATCATTTTTTTGATAAATTTTACAGGAAACGAGAAAAACTACATTTTTTAACGTTTTGTATTTATTTTGCAACCGGGATGTGTAAAGGTGGATTTTTTAACTGTTTTTAATATAAATTTACTATTTTTTATTTTTGTTAAGCCTAGAATGCTTCATACGAGGTATTGCATTAGAAATGAAAAATTATACGAGGTACTGTACAGATAAAATGGGGCGATAGAAGGTAAAAAACGTAAAAATATAAATTTTTATTAGAAATATTTATTATCAAAAAATGGTAACGCTTCTAAGAAAACAAAAAAAAAAACTAAACTTAAACTAAATAAAATCCAATTTCATATGGTAACTCTTACAAGAAAGCAAAAAAAACTAATCTTATACTAAAAACAACAAACTATCTGGAAACATTTTCCTATTCATATTGCAAGCTTTCATAATATGGCCAACAGTCTTTTGGAATAACCTGCTTCATCTCGTTAAGGTGATCAAACTTTTTTTTTAAATTGTTTGCAGTCTGTTGTACAACCGCGGAAACACAACTCCGGCCAGACTTATAGCTTTTGGTCGTCGAGGAAGCGCTTGAAACTCATCGTTGAAATTTATTTTGAAATGAATTTCTCCCTTTGGCAAGTACTCTAGTACTCTTAGATTTGTGACGACTGGGTCTGATGTTACTTTTCCAGGCCTTATGGAATAATACTTCAGTAATGGCTTGTGATTAAAATTGGTAAAAAAATCTAAGTCTGGTGTTTTAACTACATAGGGGTTTTTCTTCTTAGCTTATTTTCTTATTCGAGCATAATCGCTTGGAAGATAAATGTCCTTATTTTTCAATGAAGTTTCAATACAAGCATGTACGCTATCGCAATCCATTTGGGTAGGGCCTTTGGCCAGATATTTTTGTGTTATTTTTACACCATAAGTTTCAGCCAAATGAAGTAGCGCGTTTGACATTATGGAATTGCGATTTTGTGCTATGCAACCATCTGAAAATATAATAATTTCTCTTTTGTCACCGTTGTCCAAAAAGTTATCTTTGAGATAATCGACAACACACGAGGCGTATGATGAGGCTTGCAGATATGTTTTGGTTTCGTCAAACCAATAGCAAGGTCCCAAATTTGTTGCCAAGTCGTAGATGGTAAAATTGTGGCAACAAAGCTTTACTTTGTAATACAGTGAGCTAGCTTTTAGCTGAGGACAAATCTTGACCGCTTGAAGATCCCCGAAAATGGCTCTATTTTTGTAAAATTTTTTTTCGTTTCTAGCCCTGTCTTTTTCTTCACATTGTTTCAAAAATAGATCTTCCTCTAAGTTTTTGTTTTCAAATTTATAACACTCATCGCATCTATCCTTTCGAGGTGTAAATATTCCAATGTTGAGCTCGTTTACAATTTCCGTTAGTTTGGTTATAGACAAACACTTTTTTCCTTTGATATTGCACTGTTTCTCGTACTCTTGGTGTAATTGAGCCATGGACTGAAATTGTTCTAGATATTCTTTCAAAGTTTCCTTGCGACAGTAGTGAGCAGGTAACTTATTAAGTGATCGCAAAAATTCTCTTAGATATTCTGGAGATTCATCATGAATATTTTTTCTTTTCATTCTGCCTAGCACAGTATTTTTTTGTCTTTAATTTAAATTGCAACGATATTAAAATAAATCAAAGTATTTTTTGGATGAAACGCAATGTAAGGATATGTTAATGGCAATAATTGTAATAAACAAACATTTACTTACCTCAGTAACGTCAAAAATGTAAAAACAAAGCTCAACACGATATTCTTACAGCAGAAATCAATGGCGACTATCTGTTACGAGGTACTGCATTACAAAACATAAAATAAATTTTACGAAGTAATGAATTTTCTTGTAGAGACTTGTTACGCGGCTCTCGTAAATTTTTTAAACGTTGTCAGTAGATGGCGCGGTCAGAACCAAAAACATTCGTGTAACAAACTTAAAATGGGAAAAAATGCCATATACGAGGTACTGCACTTTAGCCGTCGATATGAAAAGGTGATGTGTTTCTGGTTTTTCTTAAATTTACGTCAAATCAAACTTTATTTCGACATGGATTTATTCACAAATGTTAAACCATTTTGATTGTAAAGAAGTTATTGAATTAATTCCGTGACTTTTCTCATAAATATACAAACCTTTTAAACTTTTTTTTGTTGAACTTTTTGTTCGTTACTGTAATATAATTTTTAAAATATTAATCCAACTCGTACGGAATTTCTTCTAAAACCCATCTATTTTTTAAAATACTAACTTTTTTGTTTTAATAATGTTTGGAAATGAAACTTCCATCGATACCTTTTCAAACATCACTGCTACTATTTTACAATAAACCAAACCTGGTATCCAAAACACATGTTTAGAAGAAAGTCATATTTATTAAGAATGAAAATAACTAAAAACACCTATGCCGTACTCAATTGAAGTTCAAGGTAATAAAAATCTCATTTCAAAATCCTTTGATTTTTGCCGGTTTTCTTATCTGGGTAACTTGTCACTGAACCCTTATCAATGCAGATCGGTTACCTTTTTTTTGTCAATAATAGTTCAAGGGCGAGTTTAATTCCAGGGTAATTGATATTCAGGTTTTATTTAAATGTAAATAAACTAGTACTGTAATATATTTTTGAAATCAGCTTAATATAACCTTTTAAAAGGGTGTCACTCGATCCCCTTTGCTATCTCTCTCCAGTGTCTCCACCTTTTTATATGATCATCAGGTATAAATAGGTTACAGTAGATAATAATGTTTTAGGTAACTGATCTAAACCGGACAGCTACATACGATCACAGAAAGAAAACGGATTTAAGCTATATCCGTAGATCATTCAAAAATGATGCAGTATTTAATAACTACGTGAGTTGCTGCAAGGAAGCAGAATCTTGCTGTTTTGACGCAATGACCAATGGAAATATTAACAGTAGTAAGTATGTCAAAAATTAACTAGATTCGTTTTTTTATTTATGCTTATCAGGAAGCTTATTGGAAATTTAGATTAAAAGATACTTATTCATAAAAAAAAGTTAATATTTATTTAACGAAAAACTCCTATTATGGAAAAATATGAAGTGATAAATTAAAATGTTTTTAAAGTAGACCTAGTAGAATAAGTCTTTAAAAGTATGGGGGCTTTTTGAAAAGCACAGCCATTATATTTTAAGTATTTGATAGTTTAACTTTCGTTTTTATTTCAGCATCAACCCATTGCCCAGCTATTTGGGACGCCTGGACTTGTTTTCATCCAACAAAAGCCAACACTGTTGCCAGATACCCATGTAGTAGTCAAGCCTATCAGGCTCCGGATGAAGTATGTACTTGTAAGTTTTTCGTTTTTTAATAGATTCTTTTAAATTCAAAGTAGGTACTGTGTACGTTGAGGTCTGAAGTATTTTATGAAAGTAGATCTAGCTTCTTAAAGAGTTACAGTTTGAGTACGCAGTGTGAGGTCTATGAAGACTAGAAAGCTACTCGGCATATTATTGTACTTGATAAGCTCCCAAAAAACGTACTATAATCAAGCTCTTTCCCGCAGACAGGGGCGCTGGTAGTAATGCCGCGAGACGAGAGATTCTCGTATCTCATCTCATCTCTTCTCGACTAGAGCTACATTTTTGTCCAAAAAAGATACAAGAGTTTCTCGTTTCTCTCGAGCAATTTCCCTTTTTCTTATTTGAAATTTTCAATTGCTAAACGTACTTAAAATTTGAACATATCAGACTTTTAGATAGACAATAAGTTAACTATAACCCACGTATTCTAAATATATACACAAATAATACGTGTGCAATTGAAATTTTATCAATAGTGATTTATACAAAAATTATTTTCCATGTTGTCATTTGTTTAAAATTAATTTTAAGTGGTAGCTGCTAAAGGTTTTTTATCGATTTAAAATTAAAATTTCAAATTTCAATTCTCTATTCAGTAAATATTTCAAGTGTGTATTAAATATTTTTCAATTTTTTCAAATTTGATTATGGAATTCGTAATAATTTTTATTCAGTCTAATTTTTCTGAGGTTACCTTTGGAAATAAGTTGAGAAGACATCAATTTTTAAATGTTTTTCAAAACACTGTCAAAGAAAAAGGAAAACAAACGAACTTATTATACATGCTTCAAAATGCTTTCATTTAATATCACATGAAGGCATCAGAAAAATTATAACTTCAATTTAACCCCCCACCCCAACTGATTTCCAAGACAAAATATTTATCTTTTTTGTTAACGCCTAATTTGGGCCACTGATTACTTCAAATTTCAATTGCGTATGTCACATAGTTTCTAAGTAAAACACATACTTTTCTTTTACTATACGGAGAATGGTCGCACTGCGCAGCTTTCTGAGTGCCTTTTAAAAGGAGATAGAAAACTCCGCCATTTTGAACCCTTATTACGTGTTGCCTACATCTTGGCGCAATATTTTTAATAGGTGCGTTTTAATCATCCGCTTCTGCTTCGGAATTGTCGGTTTTCTTGTTTTTAGAACGACTAAACCGACAATTCCGGAAGCAGAAGCGGGTGATTAAAACGCACCTGATATTTTGCTTGCTGCTGTCAGTGTCAGTGAATATTATTTTTGGAGTTACAGTTTATTGCTAAAGTTCCAAAATAACATCCACTCCAGGGATACAAATTCAGGATACGCAGAAGACTGCTGTTTTATTATAGGCGGTTGTCATATATTGTATTATCTGAGTTGCGCAGTGTATAAACTGGAACATTGAGATAAAAATTGCCGACGCAGAGTAAGCGATCTGATTCTTTAGCTATAAACTGTGTCATAGGGTTCAAAATGGCCGCGCCCTATGTTGGGCGTGTCGGACCTCTCTCTTGCCCCGTATAGTAATCAAAGTATGTGAAGTAAAACGACTGTGACAGACGGACAGAGAGAGAGAGAGAGAGAGAGACACCGAGGTGAATGCATGTGTTTCTTATTGCCAATTTGGGTACTAATAAGATACATTACTTAAAAAATTATTTTTTATTGTCTTTAAAATTTTACAGTTTTTTCATGTATGTATATCTTTTTCAAATTTAAATTTGATGTTTTTATTACGAGACGAGACAAAGGCTCTCTCGAGCGAGAGAAGCGCCTTATCGTCGATACGAGAAAACATGTTTTCCTACTGTAAAAATAATTAAAATAAATTTGTTTATAGCTAAAAAAAGCGCAGTTTGCTGTAAACTGATATTAACCTTCTAAAAACCTTGGATTCCTATTAAGTCCCATAAAAACTGATTTTATACTCTTTAATAATCTCTTTGTAGTAGAAAGCGAAAAACAATGCATCCTAAACACAACGACTCAACTAGTAGAATGGGTTCAGCAAACGGACTATACAGTATGCGCGATTGCTCCAGTATACACAAGAAGATACAACTTTCACATCATATTTTTGGGAATATGCATTGGCTTCTGCGTACCTGCCATTTGCATATTTTTCCTATTCGAAAAATTGAGGAAAACCATCAGGGTCATTCTCCACAGAAATCTATTAATAGCCATATGCGTGAGAAACGTTTTTACAATTTTATCCAAAAAATTGGTGATTTTGGACCAACTGAAGTCGCCTCTAGAAAGTTCTCATAGAATGGAGCACAACGGAGTGGCGTGCAGGATTTTGGCTTTTTTGGAAACCTCGTCAGTCAATACCATCTATGCTTGTATGTTTTTGGATGCTTACTATCTGCATAAAGTTATCGTTAGAGCTTTTGCCAAAGAAACCAAGAAAGTCTTCATTTACTCAATTTTATTGGGTAAGTAAATTTGGTTTAATTTTTATATAGTTCTATAAGGTCTCTTAAGGTGGCGTTAGCAAATTAATAAGCATTAGGGTTGCCACCTTTTTGAAAAGTAAATATAGATAGGGTTGCTAAATTTACGAAAGGGAAAAGCGGGACAACCGTGACGACAGGGATTTGGTTAAAATATTTTTGGCGAGCTTAAAAAAAATAAGTTAAAAAGTATATGTGCCGTAAAAAGGACATTTTAAGCTTTAAAAAGACGCAAGGACAATTAGTTTGAAAAATGACTTTCCTTTTCAAAAAAGGACATATGGCAACCCTAATAAGCAGAGAATTTCACGGAATTTCGATGCACTTAATTTGAGCGGATTTACAACTATTTCAGGAAATAGAATATATATTCCCATTGTTTTAATTTACATTAGCAGATGTCAGTAAAATCCACGTGGACAGTACGTTTTCTCCATGTAGGTATAATGTAGAGAGACACTCTCACGTGGTTTATGACGGGTTCGCCATATTGGGGGTTATGATTGATAACCTGTTACTTTTAACAGATAAAGGGGTCTATTCTGTAAAAATTCCTTTATATTTAACGGCCTTTAAAAATATTTTCTTCTTTAATTCGGTTACTATTTAAACGGATCTTTAAAATACATTAGAGGACTATCTTACAGAAATCTGTATAAATAATGATAGAAGTAAATTAGCGAATACAAATATACTTTTAAAGGCCCCCAATATTTTTAAAGGCCGTTAAATATAAAGGAATTATTACAGAATAGACCCCATAATATTTTATAAAGACACAGAAATAACAATCTGCTCACAAATAACGTGTATGTTAAAAATCATAACCCCGATTGTGTTTATGAATCCGTCAAATAGCTAAACATGGTTGTAATCGACGTTTTTTTAAATGTTTATGTCGTTTGCAAACTAAATATATTGTACATATTAAAAGTTAAACAATGGTCGCTTGTGCTCAACGTAGTTATAGCAGCTTAATAGATATTCATACGAAAAAATTATCTGAAATATCATTCCACAAGTAAGTAGGTATATAACACAGTCAACAATGTGCAGTGCGGTATTTTGGAAATTGAGATAATTATTATGCTTTGGTGAGAGTATTAAAGTATTAGGTTTTTGAATTAAAAATGAGAGAATTTGATGAAGCTGGTGCATCAAATTAGATTTAAAATAATGATAAATATTCTCTTTGATATCCTAAATTCTAGAAATTTACATCAGTTTCATTACAAAAAGTATTTGTCTTAAAAAAAAAATAATGAAGGCATATAAATTTACTTAAATGAAATGAATAAGTATACAAGTGCCTTCAAAACATATGTGCAGATTAACCAATGTGCCAAATGTCTCAAGACCACATAGAGTCCTTTGGTTGTATTCGCTCAGTTGGGAGCCACAACAATAACGCCACCACCCGGCAATTTCTGGGTATTTTCGATTAATCGATTATTTTCGATTTTTCAAAGGTATTCGAATAATGTTTTTTTAAGGAAATACGAAAAAATAGATTATATGAAAATAATCGATTGATCAAATATAATCGGTTATTTTATATAATTGATATTTCGATTATTTGTTTAGAATTATCGGTGTATCGGTTAATCAGCTTTTTATTAATCGATTATTTTCGATTTATCGATTATTTTCCATTTACCGATTATTTTCCATTTACCGATTATTTTCGATTTTTCAAATATATTCGAATAATCAATTTTAAAGGAAATATGAAAAAATATATTATTTGATAATAATTGATTGATCGAAAATAATCGATTATTTAAAATATTTGATAATTCGTTTTTTTAAATCGATTTATCGGTTAATCGACTTTTTAATGAATCGATTATTTTTGAATAATTGATTATTTTCGATTTTTCAAAAATTATCGAATAATCTGTTTCAATGGAAAAAATAGATTATTTGAAAATAATCGGTTATTTAAAATAAACGATAATATGCTTATTATTTTTTATAAATACTGATTTATTGGTTAATTGGATTATTGATTAATCGATTATTTTTGATTTTTCAAAGATAATCAAGTAGTCGATTATTAAGAAAATACGAAAAAAATAAATTGTAAACAATCGATTGATCGAAAATAATCGATTATTTTCAATGATCGATCATTTATTTCGATAATCACCCACCCCTAGTGACCAAATGACTTTTAGTAGGTTTAAATTTTAAAATGTTATGTGGTTTCAGACATGCATTTCTAGAGTTTTATGTAACTCATTCTCTGTATAAATAATATTCCTAAAGAAAGAAGCTTCAATAATAGTTTGTGCAACAAGAGTGGATATGATGGCCATATCGCACGAAGACTAAATTTGAGCACGACGCCATGGGCGAAGTGCGAAGTGCTTAATCGTCGTGCGATGTGGACAATCCACTCTAATTGTACAGAATATTTTTTTCTACTACCCACTAACGAAAATTTACAAATAAAAAAAAATAGTTATTAAGACAAAATAACTAATTTTAAAATAATTTATGACTTTTAATAATTTTTAAAATAATATTAACGAAAAAAAAGTTTATTTAATTTTTCCCCATCCGAGAATTGAACTCGAGTCTTCAATGTGGAAGGCAAGAACGCTAACCACAGGACCAACTATACAGAAAGCTATTATTTATCGATACTACGCAAGAATAGCCCATTTTATTGTATGTTTAATTTCAATAACTAAAAAATATACTAACAATTAGTTTGACAGAATTGTCACTTATTTAAAATTTTAAAAATAATAGCAGTCGGTTAATTAAAATATGAACGGTGATTGGTGGATTTCATTTTTTGTAGTGTTCTCATTATCTAGAATGGATATGAAATATATTCGTTCAGTTGAAGGCAATAGCATACTTTTTCGTTTTGTAATATGTGCGTAGATAAGCTAATATACATCTGGGTGTAGAAAAAATATTGATCAACCGACTGCTATTATTTTTAGAATTTTAAATAAGTGACAATTCTGTCAAAGTAATTGTCAATATATTTATTAGTTATTGAGAATAAACATCCATTAAAATAAGATATTCTTTTGTAGAATCGATAAATAATAGAATTTAAATTTTTATTTCGTCTATAATTATAAATAATTTGTTAATTTAAATAAAACTATATGAAGTCAATTTTATTACGAGTATTAAAGCAACAAAAATTGAATAAATGGTCCTGTGGTAGCATTATTGTCTTCCACACAGGAACCTCGAGTTTGATTCTCGGATGGGGAAAAATGAAATGAACTTATTTTATTTTAAAAATTATTATTAGATAAAAGTAATGGTTAAGGGTGGTTAAAAATAAAAAAAAATCAAAAACGGAAAGCGATACCAACATACAATTTTCAGTAATAGGGGGTTGAGGGGGTTGAAATATTTAAATATATAAATATTTAATTATGAATATTAAAGCAAAAAAATAAACGCCTAGATGTCAGTAGGGTTTTGAAATGAGAATAAAGGACTACGATGCTGACAGGGGCTCCGGTATACAAAAATTCCTCATCCTTCTACTGAACTTTTAAAAAGGTTCTCAGCTTATATATTTTTGTACAAACCATGTCCCTTCCAGACATTTGCCGTAAAAAGGACATTTTAAGCTTTAAAAAGTCACAAGGACATTTTGCTTCAAAAAAGGACTGTTCTTTTCAAAAAAGGACGGGTACCAACCCTATGTATCAGCGTTCTTGCCTTCCATATGGATGACTCGAGTTCGAATCTCAGATGGAGAAAAATAAAATGAATTTTTTTTCTTGTTAATTTTATTTTAAAAATTAGTAAAAGTCATAAATTATTTTTAAATTCATTATTTTATCTTAATAATCTAAAATAATTTTTAATATTTGTGGATTTTCGTTAGTGGGTCGTAGAAAAAATATACTGTACAACTCGAGTTGATTGTCCATATCCACTCTTGTTGCACAAACTACTATTTTCTGAGGTTACAATACGAAACATAATTTTTTAATTTTGACTAATTTTTATATTATGTAATAGCCGTAGAAACAACATAATGAACTCATAAGGTTTGATTTGTAGTATTCGCCTGCGCACATTCTTTTTTTTATAACAACAACACACAAATTTGGGGTGAATAAATAGGCAAGTCAGATTTTTCCAACAATATAATTTGACAGGTCACTTTTTTTTAATTTTTGATGTTATAAAGGGTTAATGCTGCCTATCAATCTGGATCTATTTTTTTTTTTTCATTAAATTGGGGTAATTTTTTAAAATAACTTAGCTGAAACGACGCCTAATGAAAAATATAGTCGCTCCTATTTTTTGTCTCTTTCTCCAAACTATTAAAAAAAATCTAATCATATGTGTAGATAAGTTTTGATAAAGCAAACATCATATAGCTACTAACGGGAGCTAAATGCACCTGTAATGTGTATTTTCTAAATCTTAATGTAAATACTCATAAATATTTGTCGCTGTTACTATTTGAATAGATTAAAACTACATTTACTTTGGGAGCCTTAAAAATAATATTCGTTAGATTAGATAAAGCGATTTATTGAGAAATAACTATAAAATATTGTTCAATTGATTTTCATTTTAAAAAATATAGAATTTATCCATCTAATTTTTTCAATATCAAATTTAAAGTGAATCTACTTTATAAACATATATATTTGTTCAAAACTACTGTGACCTACCCATATCTCTCTGCTTATTAATAATTATTTAATAAATTTAGACAGTGATAACTTAGAAATTAGAATCATTTTATTATCTTTTAAATTTTTAAGTACACATTTTTTAAAATCATCTTAATCATTAAAAATTACAATAAAATACCAAATGATCTTCTTTGTAAACACTTTTAAGCAAAAAAAACATTCATTTAACGTTTATTATTAACACTACACCAATAACCTATCAAATGTATTAATAGACAACTGTCTATCTCTCAAAGAATTTTCATTGTCCCAAAGTAAACAATTACTACCTACTCGAATTACTTTTATTTCTCGTTAAATTTTAATCGACTTCTAAAAATATCTACATTTATTTGATTTATTTTTAATGGATCATAATATTAGGTACCTAGCTTTAGATTCATTTAAATACCTTCAGACACCTTTAGGCGCCTTTAGATACCTTTAGATATATGTATACCTCTAAATACCTCTAGATACCTTTAGATACCTTTAGATACCTTTAGATACCTTTAGATACCTTTAGATACCTTTAGATACCTTTAGATACCTTTAGATACCTTTAGATACCTTTAAATACCTTTAAATACCTTTAAATACCTTTAAATACCTTTAAATACCTTTAAATACCTTTAAATACCTTTAAATACCTTCAAATACCTTTAAATACCTTTAAATACCTTTAAATACCTTTAAATACCTTTAAATACCTTTAAATACCTTTAAATACATTTAAATACCTTTAAATACCTTTAAATACCTTTAAATACCTTTAAATACCTTTAAATACCTTTAAATACCTTTAAATACCTTTAAATACCTTTAAATACCTTTAAATACCTTTAAATACCTTTAAATACCTTTAAATACCTTTAAATACCTTTAAATACCTTTAAATACCTTTAAATACCTTTAAATACCTTTAAATACCTTTAAATACCTTTAAATGCCTTTAAATACCTTTAAATACCTTTAAATACCTTTAAATACCTTTAAATACCTTTAAATACCTTTAAATACCTTTAAATACCTTTAAATACCTTTAAATACCTTTAAATACCTTTAAATACCTTTAAATACCTTTAAATACCTTTAAATACCTTTAAATACCTTTAAATACCTTTAAATATCTTTAAATACCTTTAAATACCTTTAAATACCTTTAAATACCTTTAAATACCTTTAAATACCTTTAAATACCTTTAAATACCTTTAAATACCTTTAAATACCTTTAAATACCTTTAAATACCTTTAAATACCTTTAAATACCTTTAAATACCTTTAAATACCTTTAAATACCTTTAAATACCTTTAAATACCTTTAAATACCTTTAAATACCTTTAAGTACCTTTAAATACCTTTAAATACCTTTAAATACCTTTAAATACCTTTAAATACGTTTAGAGACACTACATTTGTAAAAAAAATACTAATAGATAAACCTTTATACAACTTTTGGAGGCGTTTACAAATATTTTGAAACCACTTTAAAAACCCGTCTCAAAAAAATCAAAAATTCCTAGAACATTTTTAGCAACCCCTTAAAAATAAGCAAGCTGCTAATATTCTATTAGTAAAGCTTAAAAAATAATTTTAGGAATGACCTTTATCTTCAGCTTGTGTTGGGCGATAGCTATGGCTGCTAAGAAGGCCGAAAACTGTTGGATGGTGAACATGGATGGTCTGCAATGGACTCTAGATGGGTTCAGGATAGCTGTGCTAATGGTCAACACAATTCTATTGGCAGACATTATTAGAGTAATGATTTTAAAACTTAAACATGGAAGCACCACCAAGCAAACAATGTAAGTATATTATATAACCAATATCAGTCTCACGTAGTAAGTTTATAATAAGTAGTCTACTGTTTCAACATCCTTTATTTTTTTTGCATTACACTGTATGTAAGACACAGCAAATTCGTCGCTATTTGAATAACAATAGTTCAACTGAAACACCTACATTGAGGAAATATTTGATTTACGTCTGTTAACCAAACGAAACTCTGTTACAAGTCAAACTATAAATTATCCATGTTTATTTACTCTACAATTTTCCGATGTGTGCATCAATTGTTAAGACTTTAGAGATGGCCCCTTTGATATATACGTTTGCTAAATAAATATTTGGCCATTGTTTCTTGTTTTTTATTTATAGATATTGCGATTAAAAACTAATTACAATAAATATAGTTGTTTTATTGAAAGATAAAAATATTTAATCACAAAGTTGCTGAAATTATTTTATATTCCAATTCCACAATTTTTTTCTGTATCCCTCTTTGATCATATTGTTACGCAGGTTTTTTGTATCTGAATTTATTTTAATTCAACTTTTAATATAACTCAATTCAACTTTTACAATAACTCTAACTGATAACATTAACGTATAACGTCTGTCATAAAGCTGAAAAACGACGTCAGGTTCCTCGGTTTATATAGCTTGCTTGAGACCCTTCTCGAACCTTCTCGAAATGCCTAGAATTTTCTTGACAAATGTAAGAATGATTTTATTTTCTATACAATATTATTAAGTTTTATTTTACGAAACACCCGGTTCTTTTTAAACGCACCAAATATTTGTCTTCCAAAACAGCCACAAAGTTTACGTTAACACCATTAAGATACGGAGGTATCGAATTACGAATATGGGAACTAAGGGTAAAGTATCGAAACAGGCATAAAATACAGATCATTCTGAATTTGAGTTAGTTACTTTACGGAACAAAATTAAAGTTCGTTCCAATAATAATAATAAAAAAAAAACTAGTGAATAATAATTTTTGTGAGTGGCTGTTTGCTGAACAGGGTGAGTTTTTCTCACTGAGTAATTATGTTTTATCAATTAGTTTTGTTTTAATTTGTAATCAAGTTATTTTGCAAATTATATTACCCAATTATTATCCATTAACCTTTTATAGTTAATTTGTCAATTCTGACGTAAAGATATTTTGTCAAGTATTGAGAAAACCTTATATCCTAAATTAACGGGGTTATATTAAATAATTAAAACTTATTTGAATTCGACTATTTACTTATATTTTGTTTTCCTCTACGAGGTGTAATCAAAAGTAAAGTGAGTTAGATTGTCTGTTCTGGCGTAGTACATTGCGGTCAGTGTTTGCGTTTATTTAGGGATTATTCCCGGAGTCGTCGCACCATGGTTGGTGCGGGCTAGTGACATTGCGGTCAGTGTTCTAGTAATGGCTTTTTATATATCGATCGATGTTTGGGCATTGCGGTCAGTGCCTACAGAATTGAGAATATAACTTTTTGTCAATTATGGAAAATTTAAAGTTGTGTCAATTATATTTTTTTTATAATCAATATTTTGACATATTTATCATGTATAATTTTCTTGTTAATTAAAAGGATAATAAGTATTTTATTTATGGATATCACCTTTTCATGACTTTCTTTAATATAAAGCTACCTTTGGTAAACTTGATTGCTCATACTTGTTTTTCGTTTATTTCAGGTACGCCATCTCATAAGGGCATTAATTACATCTCATACGTGCATTAAGTATTTTATCTATTTTATTTTACTATTATTTTATTTGCATTTTTTTTTATTTAATACTTATTTCTAAATAATTTTATTTTGTTCTATATTTTATATTTCAATTTAAAGTTATTAAATCGTTTATTGAATTAATTTCTAGTTTTTCCTGACATAGATTAAATAACTAAATATTACCGCCCAAGTTTACAATAGATATTTTTAAATTACAAATATCGTCCTATACAAATAATGACTTTTCCTGACATTTCTGGTTTATTTTATTTTATCTTCTTTTACTCGTACTTTTACTTATGATGATCGCAGCACACTATAGTGTGATGGGTGACATTGCACTTCTTTTTGTATTTGTTTCCTATAACGGCCGTAGGCCACTGCAGGGTGTTGTGTAACATTGATCCCTCTTCTCGAATTATTCGTCTCGAATAACTTGATTACTGGAATCTGGTTGGAGCCAACGGGGAGGATCTGAACCACGATATGGTGCTTACTTTTCAATGTGAACTAACTTGGGATTACTTCTTGTTGACAACTGAATGCGGTAGTTCAGGTCGTTGATTTTCTTGAGGATGGTGTAGGGGCCTTCCCAGTTCCGTTGCAGCTTCTGACAAAGTCCTTTTCGGCGCTTGGGATTGTACAGCCATACTGGATCGCCTCTCTCCAAATGTGTCCGTGTGGCATGCATGTCGATTCTAGCTTTTGCTTTATTCCTATTAACTTTCAAACGTTGACCAGCGAATTCGTATACCTTCTCTAATCTTTCTTTTAAGTTCTGTATGTACATGGAAGGAGTATGCATCTCTTTTTCACCAGGAGGCTGCCTTCCAAAAAGAAGATCATGGGGAAGTTTCATCTTCCTTCCGGTAATCATCACGGATGAGGTACAACTGGTCGTTTCATGTTTAGAACTTCGGTAGGCTAGCAAAAATAGAGGAATTAAAGTGTCCCAGTCCTTTTGATTATCAGAGACGAACATTGAAAGATACTGGCATATCGTTCTGTTGTGTCTTTCTACCATTCCGTCGGATTGTGGGTGTAGAGGCATAGTGCGTGTTTTCCTGACGTCTAATAGTTTCATTAATTCTTGCCATAATTCGGATTCAAAATTTCGTCCTTGATCAGAATGTAATTCCAGGGGGACTCCGTGTCTCGCAATGACAATCGTCACAAATGCGTCGCTTCCAGAATTAATTGATTGTCAAATTAAAATTGCGCACAATTCTGGTGGCAATGACTGGTTTCTGATCGTTACTGGAACAAACCTGTTAAAATACGACTTTCTGAGAAAAATAATTGATTTTTATTTGCAACAGTACTTTACTTACAGTTACAGTATGTCAGTACTTTTATAGCTTTACAAGTTTCAGATATAATAAATACTATTACAGTTTATCTAAGGCTGAAAAGTAATTCCAGTTTCCAAAAATCTTAATGTTACACATAACTTCTCGTATGGTGATATATTTCCTCTCATGCCTTGCTTTTTTATAATTGGTATACCTAAGTAGGTACAGCAATTCTTGATATGCGTCTTCGCTTGTCTTTAAGTAGTTTGACCATTCACAAGTTCCATCATTAACATGAGACAGTAATTTTATTTTTAGGAGCCAATGTTTGCTCCATTCAGTTCTTTTCTTTCGCGGTCCCTTTAGTACTAAGCACAAAGTGATCGCAATTAGGGATCTTTAATCATCACTGATGTACACGACAAATGAAAACTCAGACTGATCGTCTAAAACGATAGCGTTTCCATAAATGAAATCACAACTGAACTGAAATTGAAACTGAACTGAGAACTGATATGATGGTCTAAAAGGAGCTTATAGTTAGTAAAGTTTCAATATAAGTGGCTTGCTATTTAAACCATGAAGGAGTGGTAGGTAAAGGAGCAAATTATGTATGTTCCTTTTTAAAGCATTACTTTGTCTGTGATAACTTTTGCGGATAAAATAAGACTAACATAATGGTTTGATTTTTAATGAGTTTAGTGGAACTTAAAAGATTTGAGGAGATACAAATTTACTTTCCTACGAGAGATCATTCGTTTGTACCATGCGATTGTGACTTCGGTTTGATCAAAAGGCAACTTAACAAACATGAAAGATATTATACAGTATATATCGAAATTATCACGAAGGCTTCAAAGGAGCCACAAAAATTCTCAATTGTCGAGGTTTCAAGAGATTTAGTGTTTGATTATAATAACTGGTGGTCAGATTTTTACAGAAGAACCTGTTTGAGTACCGAATCATATGGAAAAAATATATCTTGGTGCAAAAAATATCATTCACCATCTACTCATTTTACCACATGACGATTTCTTCTGCTGAAGAAGTAGTTAGCCGAGAATTTATAAATCCTCTTGTATCAGAAACATTTGAAGGTACAATAACCTACCCTACAACAAAAGTTTTTACCTGAAAGGCATACCCAAAAGGCTTCCCATTAATGAGAAAAGATGACTGAGGATATTTCATTAACAAAAGAAACCTAAAATACATTTTTTTCCAATAAATAACTTCTTATATTTCATTTACTGCAGAAAAGTGACATATTCACAAGTCAAATTTGGCAGCTGCGCCAAGACAATATCAAAAAATTCTTTAGTCTATTTCAACTTATACTAAAGGTCCATACGATTATATCCACAAAATTTGAGAAAAAAATTAATTATTTAGAGAAATTAGAAGGTTTTTTAATTTCCTAAATAAAATGTGATATGTCCTCTTTCTGCAATTAGCGATTCATGTATTCAAAGCAATTTTTTCACTACTATTAAGTTTTGAAATATCAAGTGGTAACCCTTTGTGTACTCCGTTATAACGTTCGAATCTATCTGTTTTTATTTTAATCAAAGCAATTTACAACAAAAATTCTGCCTCTCCAATGCCTCTCCCTTTTCATCCTCTCTACGTGATATCCTTTCATTTTTTTTAAATAGCATAAAGATATTGCAATATAGGGACCGTGCGTGAAATATAGAGTCAGCACTACTGCCGAAGTTAGCTGTTTAATTTTAAAATTAAAAGGGGTAACTTTTTAAGTAAATAATAAAGGATATTTTTTTAAATAATAAATATAGATAAATATAGATACCGGCCCGTAACAAACAATCGTGTACATGGTCCAAATAATATAAAATGTGAAAAATTATTAAAATCTTTAGAAAAAAGACGATTAAAATTTTACTCCAAGACACGTTATTATGTATTTTGAAAGTTGAGTTTCCATATAGTTAAATAATATTAAGAGATCTAAACAATTTTTATAACAGATGGATGTAA